CATGCGCTCTGCCACTGACCTATACCCTCCCACAGGGCTTCACTTTTGAATGTAACCGCTGGCCATTTTTACACCTAACAAAATTAACAGTGACCTCTTAATACCACCCAACACTGAGTTCATAATCAGATTTCTTTTTTGGGGGAAGGGGGAGAATATACTCCAGATTTAATGATAGTTATCTCAGAGTGATAGCATTTCCATTTTCTATGTTAAATATTTCCTTAAAGTTTGAAATTTTTAAATTGAAGTATGGTCGATTTACAATGTTGTGTTAGTTTCTGGTGTACAGCATAGTGATTCATTCATACATATATACATATTATTTTAAATATTCTTTTCCATCATAGGTTATTACAAGCTATTGAATCTGGTTCCCTGTGCTGTACAGTAGGACCTTGTTTATCTTTTTTATAGATAATAGTTGGTATCTGCTAATCCCCAACTCCTAATTTATCCGCCCCCTGTTGCTTTCCCCTTTGGTAACAGTAAGTTTGTTTTCTATGTCCACATTTCTCCAGTTGTCTCAAAACTGCCTCTGTCCTCGTCTCTATTCCTCTCTTTCTCTCTTTTGGGTGGGGAGGTAATTAGATTTATTTATTTATTTTTAGAGGAGGTAGTGGGGACTGAACCCAGAGCATGCGAAGCACATGCTCTACCACTGAGCTATACCCTCCCCCCTTCAACTCCACTCTGCTCCACCCCTTTGCCCAGCACCTCTGACACTGTCTCCTCTCTGTCCCTACATACCCTTTCAATGTCGGTCTCTAATTTGGGCGCTGCAGGCTTACTTCTCTCCTTTCCACAGCATCCTTCAGTGCAGGGAGCTAGTGGCTGGAGAGAAGCGGAGCTAAGGAGGAGGCAGCCCCGTCCTCAGGGAGCTCCCAGACCCGTGGGCCAGGAGAGTGGGCCTGGGCCCCATCGTGGGAGAGGCTGGAGGGTGGGTGGGACTTGTCAGGAGCACCTTGTCAGGCGGCTTCCTGGTGGAAGCAGGGCCTCGGGTACCCAGCAGGCCTTCACACCCTTCCATCTGCCCTGCCCTCTGCTTCCAGGAGGATACTCGGGCTCAGCGGCATCGGCTGCAGAAGCATCTGGCCGAGCATCTGCGCCAGACCTGGGGCCAGCTAGGGCCCCCACCACAAGCCCGAGACCTGGGAGAGCTGCTGCAGGCCTGGGGTGCCGGGGCCAGGACTGGTGCTCCCAAGGGCTCCCGCTTCACACATTCAGAGAAGTTCACCTTCCATCTGGTGGGTGGGCCTGAGTGGGCCTGGGGTGTGCTGATGGGGCCAAGGCAGGGTTGCTTTACGTACAGACACCACACTTTATCCACACAGGGTCTTGTGTTCCCACCGAGCATGCCCGCTCTCCACAGGGGGCAGGTACCCAGAGGGGTCCCCTGGCTTCTCGAGAACTTCCATGGAGAAAGTGTAGAGGAGTGGGAACCATGGAAGGGTGCAGGGGTGCTCTTTGTGTGAACCCCAGCTTTCCCCAGGCAGTTTTCTTCAGACATACCTTCTGTCCTTGGATGGTCACTGAGAGGGGGCCTCATCCTTCTCATGGCCAGGTGGGCAGGAGCTGTGTCAGGGTTGGGGAGGTTTCTTTATGAGCAGTCTGAGGTCACGGAGAGCACTTTGATCCTCAATCACACCTATATTCCGGTGGCTGTCACTGGTTGAGTGGGCCCGGGTACAGTGCTGGGAGGGCGCTTGCGGTGGGTGTTGAGGCTGGGCTGGGAGGGGCGGAGGCTTCCCCGACAGCCGGGATGCTCCCTTCTCACTCCCCAGGAGCCTGAGGCCCAGGCAGCCCAGGTGTCAGATGTGCTGGCCACCTCCCGGAGGCCTGAACAGGTGAGCAGAACAGTGGCAAGGGGTGGGGGGTGTCCTGGGCCCTTAACTGTCTACTGGGCCTGACACCCCCACCCGGACTGGCCTGTGCCTTCCAGGACACATTGGCAGCTCAGGAGCAGGAGCTGGAATCTCTCCGGGAGCAGCTGGAGGGAGTGAATCGCAACATTGAAGAGGTGGAAGCCAACATGAAAACGCTGGGAATCAGCCTCGTGCAGGTGGGCGTAGGGGAGGGGCTGGCCACCAGGGCTGGCTTACGATTTGGGCCTAGAGGGCTTAGAGGGACTTGAGGGGGCCGAGGGGTCCTCTGCAGAGGTCTGCAGATGACAGAAAGGTTTGTGGGAGACACTGGGGACCGTGGGGCTCTTTAGGGTTTAGGAGAATCAGTGGGAGTGAGAGGAGGGTGTAGGATTGTGGACGGGTTGGGGATTGGACTTGTAGGGGTTAGAGGTGCCTGTGGGCCTCTGCAGGCATCTGTAGGGGCGTGATGGGTCTGTATGGGCAGGGGCTTGTGGGGCTCATCGGGGCTCCTGGGGGTCAGTGTGGAGGTGGAGGGGCCATTGGGGCCTGTGGTGCCTGTCACTGATTATAGGTCCTTGTCACTATCGGGAGGGGGTTGAGGGGCTGATAGGGGCTAGAGGATGTGTTGTCATCTGTGGGGGCTTGGGCTAGGCCAGGGTTTTCCAGGCTCAGTGGGGGCTGTGGGGCTGTGGTGTGTGGCTGGGCTCCCCTACTGACTGGGAGCGGAGGTCCTGGGGTGCCAGGTGGAGACTGAGTGCCGGCAGAGTGAGCTCAGCACAGCGGAGCGCGAGCAGGCCCTACGTCTGAAGAGCCGGGCGGTGGAGCTGCTGCCCGACGGGGCTGCCAACCTCGCCAAGCTGCAGGTAGGGCTGGCGCTGAGCCTGGGCCTGGGTGGGGTTGGTCGGAATTGGATGGGCCCAGCCTGTGTGACATGTAGTCCCCTACCACCACCTCCAGCTCGTGGTAGAGAGTAGTGCCCAGCGAGTCATCCACTTGGCGGGTCAGTGGGAAAAGCACCGGGTCCCACTCCTTGCTGAGTATCGCCACCTCCGAAAACTCCAGGATTGCAGAGAGGTAGGTGGTGGGGGTCCTGGGCCATGGGTAGGGCAGCTGGTCCCTCCTTAGGGGGCCAGCCCTGTGCTCTGCTCACTGCCCTCTACCCATGGGGCCCTGGCAGATGGAATCTTCTCGACGGCTGGCAGAGATCCAAGAGCTACACCAGAGCGTTCGGGCAGCTGCTGAAGAGGCCCGCCGGAAGGAGGAGGTCTATAAGCAGCTGGTAAGGCCCGTGTGGGGCCTCCCTGGGTGGCTTGGAGTGGGGGAGGTGTGGGCCCTAGGGAAGTGGCTGCTGTGTCTCTGCCTAGATGTCAGAGCTCGAGACCCTGCCCAGAGATGTGTCCCGGCTGGCCTACACCCAGCGCATCCTAGAGATTGTGGGCAACATCCGGAAGCAGAAGGAAGAGATCACTAAGGTGCGCCGTTGTGGCCATGGAGGGCGGGTCACAGGGGCAGACACATCCAAGGGGAGGATGTGTGTCACAGGGCCACACAGGGACCTCACATCCTCTGAAAGGCAGAGCTATCTGGCCATACCCCAACACAGAACAGCCCTACACTCCAGCCACCCTGACCTGGTCTGGATGTGACAGCATGAACTCGAATGCCCTCAGCTGGCTGGTCACCCCGCCCCAGACACAGGCTCATGGCTACCCTGGTCTCTGCCAGATCTTGTCTGATACGAAGGAGCTTCAGAAGGAAATCAACTCCCTTTCTGGGAAGCTGGACCGGACGTTTGCAGTGACTGATGAGCTCGTGTTCAAGGTATGGGGGGGGGGGCAGGCTGCGTGCAGGGGCAGGATGGGCCTGGGCCCTGTGTGAGCCTTGCAGGTACACTGGTCCTGGGGCCTGGCTTTGCCCCATGGAGGATGAAGTCAGAGGAGTGGGAGAGGGTAGCCTTGGGGGGGCCTGGAGGTAGTGAGGGGTGGTGGGGCTGGAGCAGCCCACTAACACCTTCAAGGTTCCCTCTGTCTGGTCAGGATGCCAAAAAGGATGATGCTGTTCGGAAGGCCTACAAGTATCTAGCTGCCTTGCATGAGGTGAGGGGCGAAGGGTGCCCGGGGGCTGGTTGGGGAGGGGACGGGTTTCAGTGCAAGCCTTCGGCCCTTGCTGTCCCCAGAACTGCAGCCAGCTCATCCAGACCATCGAGGACACAGGCACAATCATGCGGGAGGTTCGAGACCTTGAAGAGCAGGTGAAGCCTGGGGCTGGGAGGGTTAACTAAGGCCGGCCAGAGGGAACAGCTCCTCAGTGGATGCTGAGAGAGGCTGTTGAACCAGACACAGCCGACAGCTGGCATCTCTGCCCTAGTAGCTGTGTATGTGACCTGGGACAGGCCAGTGGCCTACTCTGAGCCCATCCTTCCACCCTGAGGGGCCTTGTGCAGGGCTCTTGGCAGAGGCTTCAGCTGAAGTGTGTGGTGGACAATCCTGCCATTGAGCAGAGGATGCTTTAGGTGGATGGATGACACAGGCAAAGGCCTGGCAGTGGGACAGAGCAGGCTGTTATTGGAGGGAGTGGGAGGAGCACAGGAGGGGCCCTGAAGAGGCCGTAATGGGGAGGGGGTGGTGAGCAGGAGCTGGGAAAGGGGCCCTGCACACTGAAGGGATGCGGTTCATGTTGCCTTAGATCGAGACGGAGATGGGCAAGAAGACCCTCAGCAACCTGGAGAAGATCCGAGAGGACTACCGAGCCCTTCGCCAGGAGAACGCTGGCCTCCTGGGCCGGGTCCGTGAGGCCTGAGCAGCCCCCAGCAGAAGTCTTGCCCCAGCTTTAGCCAGGGCATTGGGGGCACCGGCCAAGCACTGGCCCTGGCTGTGTCCTCTGCCTGCGGGCCAGTTCCTCCTGCTGCAGCCTTGGGCCCAGCCCTTATCTGGGGTGATCATCCAGAGTGTGGGAGCTCGGCTGCAGTTTATTGCGGAGGGCACTGGGGGTTGGGGCCTTGTATCTCAAATAAATGAGGGGTTCTGTCTGCAGTCTAAGCTGAGGCATGGATGGGGGCACAGGGCTCCTGGTGGGGGAGGGGGGCGAGTGGCAGTTGAGACACTGGGTACACCTGGTGAGTTGGTGTGTGTGGCCGTGGGTGTCTGCATGGGACTCAGGAGACCCCCAGGGGTGTCATGCGGGCGTGCATGCATGCAGGAGATGTGCAGGTGAGTTCAAAGAGTAACTGTGTGACCGAGCGTCTGTGTCGGGAGCTGCACGATACCATGTACGACCAGGTCTGGGACCTGAGATCTTGAAAGTCCCGAGGCTGTTGCTGTGCAGATGTCTGGGCGTGCCCCGGGTGACGCTGCATCTGTGGGCCTGGAGGCTGCCTGTGGGTGTGTGCTTTGGGGCATGTGGGTTGACGGGACCATGCTTGGGTGTGACTGTTGGTGTGGCTACAGATTTGAGGTGGTCTGAGTATACTGAATGTTTGAGGGTTTGCCTCGAGTCCAAGGGACAGGATTGTGATGCTTTGTGTCCTTCCCAGCCCCAAGGTCATCTGTGAGAGTGACTGAGTGACTAAGGCAGGCGGTGTGTGTGGTTGGTTGTGAAGGCTCAGTTTGGCTGGAGAGCCCATTACAGGGGGCTGGGGTGGGAGGTGGGGGCGGCTGGGATCCCTCTGAGCAGGCTTGGTGCCGAGCATATGATCCAGGAGGGCAGTCAGCTGGGGAGCAGGGTCCCTGGCAGGCAAGACAGTGCACACCTTGCTTCTTGGTCCCGGCAGGCACGTCCAAGGCTGGTCACTTCTGTCCCCGGCCGCTTCCACCCACCCATTTTGGCCCCTGTCCTTCCTTCTTTCCTTGGCTTTGAGTTCAGGAGCCAGGTGTGGGGTTGGAACACCTGCTGGGCCTCTGGCTCCTCTTCTTGCGGAACTCGAACTCATCCACGGTCCACACGGCCCCCTTCTCACTCTCCACACGCACAAAGCACTTGTGCAGGCTCAGGTTGTGGCGGATGGCATTCTGTGGAAGGAGGGCCAGCCAGCCGGGCCCGGGGCCGGGGGAGCGGGCAGGCAGTCATCCTCTGAGGTCAGCTGTCCCCACCAGAAATCAATCTCCTGCCCTTTCCCAACAAGCCTCCAAGCCCAGTCCCAGGCCCACCCACTCCTGAACTTGACCCAGCCTTGTGGTGGGATTTGAGGCCCTCCCAGCTACTGCCACCTCCGCAGGAGCTCACCTTCCAGGTGGCAGGGTGGTTTCTGAAGAAGGCGAACATGCGTGTAAACCAGTGATAGATCTCATTGAGGGTCCGCTGCTTCTCGGGAGCCTCCAGGATGGCCTGGAGGTTAGGGGGTGTGGGAGTAAGGGGAGCTGCTCTCCCAAAGTCGGGCTGAGAGGGGAAGTGGCCCACCTTGGGCCTTCTGACATGGGTGGAATTGTGGGGATGGGGGAAAAAAGGGAGATGGTGTGGGGTGATGGGTCAGAGACGGGGTTAGAAGTGGGGTGAGGGTGGGGCTGGGATGGGATTGGGTAAAGGATCAGGGCTGAAGTGGGAGTGGGGTCTGGTTCAGGGTTAGGACTGGAGTGAAGTTAAATTTCTGGGATGGAGTTGGAGTTCTCTGTGGGGGTGAGGTTTCAGGGCTTGAGAAGCTTAAGGGCCAGGAGCAGGGGCCAAGTTAAGGATTCAGAAGGGATAAAGGGCCAGGCTCGAGTTACAGGTCAGGGAAGTGCTGGTTAAGGGTCAGACTGGGGTAATGGGGGTAAGTTGAGGGGCGAGGGTTGGGATGACAGGTGGCATTAGGTCAGGAGTCAGAGATAGGCCTAGTTATGTAGCTACTTAATGTGTCAGGGATGTCATTAGGCAGGGTCAAGCGTGAGGTTGACTGTTTATGGTCGTTAAGGGTCAGGGCTGGGGTTAGGTGTGGAGTGAGGCTAAGGGTCAGGGAATTTGATCTGCTTGGATTTAGGAATGGAATTATATCAAAGGTCAGGGATTATGGCTGCAGTGAGGCTCCAGGTCAGGATGGGGCTAGGTAGGGGAACATGTGGCATTGTGGAGGGTTAGGTGTGGGCTTAGGAGGAAGGTCCGGGTGGGCTCTGGTGAAGCTTCTGGGAAGGCATTAGGGAGACTCAGATGAAGGGGTTGAGATGGGGTGAGGATAAGGGTCAAGTGTTAGCAAGGAGGGGGTTAGGGGCGGGGTCTAGTAGAGGGATGTGTTGACCTGCTGGGGTCCATCAGGGCTGGGGAAGGAGTCAGGGTAATACTGGGTGGGTTTGGGCAAGGGGCAGAGGTCAGGTTAGTTTGGGGGCTATTTATAGGCCCAGGAGGTGGTCAGGTAGAGGGTTAAGGTGGACGTCAGGAAAGGAGTGGGTTTAGGGCCAGAATTTGCACTGGCTTGGATGACAGTTTAGGTGTGGGTTTGGGGGCAGGTCTAGGGTGAAGATGGGGGATCACAGCTGAGGTGTGGGTTTGTTCTTGGGGGAGCCGGCCTCGAGGTGCTTAGAGGGAGGCAGGCCCTCCACCCCGGCTCTCTCTTCCTTCCCCTCAGCCTGGCACGCTGCTTACCCAACGGATGAGGGTGGCATAGGTGAAAGGGGGCCGCATGTTGTGGAACTTGAAGTAGTCCATGTTGTGGAAGAACTCTGTCAGAAGTGGGGAAGGATCAGGCCCCATCCGAGAACTCCTTGCCCCTTCTCCCACCCTCTGCTCTAGAATGTCTGTCGAGTCTGCATGCCTGAAATCCCACCGTTGACACTGGTTTCCATGATCGCAGCCGCTGTTTGCTAAGCCCTTGACATAAATGATATCATTTCCCTTTTGCACCACTTCCATCAAAACGGGGCTTATTCTCCCCAAGGTTTAAAAGAAGTGAAGCAACTTCCACATCAAAGGGATGTAACTGGCTAAGTGGCAGAGCCAGGATGGCACTCAAGGGCCCTGATCCCTGTTAAGCCCACAGCCTGGACCTTGCGGGTAATAGGGGATTGGTGAACTAAGGCGAGTCACCCTGCTTTTCCTTGGTGGGGGGAGGGGGAGTCCCTGGGAATTACTAAGCTAGCTCCCTTCCTCATGATGACCAGGAGCAGTTAAAGCCCAGAGTGAGTAAGCCCCAATCCTAGGGGAGACAGGGCTGGCGCTAGACATCTGAAACCACAGTGGGGGCTTGCAGGCCATGGGGATCCGGAGAGAAAGCTTTCACAAGCATATGTGATTTCCTAAAGGCTGGGAGGCAGTGGTGGGGAAAAGCAGTCTTTCATCCAGTCCGGGAGACTGGGGCTCGGGGGCACCAGGTGGGGCACGGGCCATCTTTACCTGGGAATGTGCTGTTTCCATGGCTGCCCCAGAGGTGCCTCCGCACAGCAAACAGGCCGTCAGGGGCCTCCTGGGGGCCGGGCCAGGCTGGGCCAGCAGTGCCCTGGGTGCCAGCGGCTACGATACAGCAGGAGCCCTTCTCAGATGATGCCTGGGGGAGGAGGGGGAGGCTGGTGACTCAGAGGCTTAAACTTTCAACTTTAGGTTTAAATAAGTGTTTCACAAAGCAAGGGCACCTTCTGCTCAATTCCACTCTGATATAGAATCCCATAAAAAAGCACAGGCCGTATCTACTAGAGTGCGGGTGTGAACACGAGTGTGTGTAGCGCATCAACGCCGAGGCCACCAGCTGGGGTTGAATCGGGCTCCTCTCCTACCCACTGTGACCTTGGGGAAGTCACCTTAAGCCTCCCCGGCCTCAATTTTCCTCACCTGTGAATTGGGGATGATAGTAACACCTACCTCACAGTGGCAGTCATGAGGATTAAATAAGTTAGCATCGCCAAAGTGCTCAGAAACAGTGCCTGACATCCAGGGCTGGTTTCTGGGCATGTGATCTGTGCAGGCATTCAGGGCTCCATGCTTCATTTAATGCTCTGCAGTCATCATTTTGAAATTTAAGCCCCATATTTTCATTTTGCCCTGGGCCCTGTGAGTTATAAAGCCAGTCCTGCCAGCGGCACACGGTCTGCATTCAGTGTTGGGTGATTTGCTGTTGCTTTGCAAACTCAAGATCACGCTGTTTTGGGATCTTAAGATCAGAGGGTTTGTAAATGGAAAGGGATGGATTCCAAGGTCTGGGCCTGTTTAGAGCTGGGGATGGGGGCCCAGAGATCCCCGGGCCTGGGTGCAAGGATAGGTTCCCCATGCAGCCTGCAGGGCCCCCCTCCCCCCCAGCAGCCTGTGCCACCTATGGGTCTGGGGTAGCTCACCGCAGATGGAGCCTTGGTTGTGGCCATCTTCCCAGCCAGGTGGGCCTGCATAGCACCTAGCTTCTCCTTCTCCAGCACCAGCTGTGAGGACAGGCACAGAGTGAGGCCTCAACCTGGTCTTTCTCCGCCACATCTTTGCCCAGACTGTGGTCTTCCCTGGGAGTGCCCTGCCCCCTTCCTTCTTTCATGCCAGCCCCAGCTCCATGCACGGGATGGACATAAGGTTCACCCACCACTACCCCACCCTGCACCGCACCCCCTACCCCAAGTCACCTGTTGCTCCAGAGACTGCACCACCTCCCTCTGGAGAAGACACTGAGCCCTGCCCTTCTCATCCAGGAGGTGGTCTGCCTGGCAGTGCCTGGGTAAGGGGAAGAGTCCATGAAGGTGACCAGGGCGAGCCTGGCCTCTGGGCTCAACATTCCAAGTGGGGAGGGCTCAGACCCTCTGAGAGGTGGACCCTTGGAGGCTAAGCCTCGCTTGCCTCTTTCTCCCTCAGTCTCCCTCTCACACCTGTCCTTTCTTCAACATATGCTACTTGGCATCTACTGCATGGCCAGGGTGCTGGCGATGATGTTGGAAGGGTGGTGAGCTGAGAGCAGGCCAGGTCAGTGAGAGCAGGAAAGGCATTCCAGGTGGAGGGGACAGCCTGTGCGAAGGCCTGGTTGTGAAGAGGACAGGATGTATTGAATTGCCACTGATAGTTGGGTAAGGTTGGAGAAAGTGTGTGTGTGTGTGTGTGAGAGAGAGAGAGAGAGAGAGAGAGAGAGAGAGAGTACGGCTGGAGGGGAGGTAGCAACAGCCATTGAGAGGGGCTGGGAGTTGGAGGAATCAATAAAGTCAGGCTGGTGTGTTGGCATGCTGGGTAGCAGGGCAAAGCAGGTAGGGAGTGTGGATTCCGGAGCCTGGCTGTCACTCAGGAACTGGATGATCTGGAATCAAGACACTTAACCTCTTTGGCCTCAGTTTCTTTGTCTGTAAAATGGAGGTAAATAACAGCACACATCTCTATTATGATGCCCTGTTAGACAGATGAGGAAACCAAGGCTCAGAGAAGCTAAGTCACTTGCCCAAGGTCACAGAGCCAGTGAGTGAGAGAGCCAGGATCTGAACCCCCTGAACTAACACCTGCAACCCAGACCTCCTCCCCCAAACCGGCCCCCCCACCCCCAGACTGGAACGGGCCTGGCCCACTCACTTGAGGAAGTCCTCTGGCTCCTCGAAGACCTTCTCGCATCCGGGCCACTTGCAGACACCATTTGCCAGCAGTGAGTAGGCGCCCTGGGGCACAGTCGAAAGGGTGCTGGGGGGACAAAGGATGTCAGGGCAGGGGACGGCAGGGCAAGGGGCCTTCCCAGCCCTGCACACTGACCTGTCCTTCCTGGGCACACTGGGGCTTGGGAAGGCACAGAGCAGTGCTGGCTCCCTGGACACCCACTCCAGGCTGGTCACGTTGATCCCTGCAGGTGGGGACAGGGCACCTCTGGAGACTGGGGGCCAAGCTCTGGAGCTTGGCCCACAAGGCCTCCCATTTGGAGCTTCTCCTCTTCCTGAGTATTGCAGGTCCAGACTCCCAGGGGGCTCTGTGGTCCCTAACATCCAAGGTTTCTGGTGGAGCAGCTCAAAGACTGCCTCTCACAAGTGCTGACATTTCGACTAACTTTGCAAAGATCTGTGGTTCCGTGATTTTGACATTCTGCGTCTTCAAGGTTCTGAGCCTGACACTTTTTTTAGAGGTTGGAGTTTCCAAGATGATAAGACCTGACACCTCTGACTTCCCTGGGGGCCGCGATTCAGCAGCCCACACTGCTCACATTCAAGGAGTGGGGGCTCGGGGGTTCTGTGGAGCTGTGGGGTACAGTGTTACCAGGTGGCAGGCCAGGCCGGGCCTTGAGGGAGAAGACCCCAGTAGCAGCAGTGGGTGGCGGGAGGCTGATCATAGCTGGGCTGTCCAGTGGGCGCACCTGCAGCACGGGGGTCCGGGCATGGGCATCCACTGTTGAGAGCTAAGGGGAGGGGACCTGGTTCAGCCTGGTCCCTCTCCAGTTCTCCCACCTGCTCCCTCCTCCCAGCCCATTCCAGGTTGGTACCTGATGCACAAAGTGTGGCCTGTCCTGGAGGAGTGCCTGCAGGTGGGGAGAGGGACCCAGCCGTGTTCCGGAGGGTGCCACCATGACAAGGGGGACTGTGGGCAGCTGGGGAGAGAAGGCAGGCAGGTGACATGTCATTCTCACCCTCACTGTTCTACACATCTAACTCATAGACTCCTCACCACAACCCTGCTGCTAAATGCTGTGACCATCCCCATTTTACATATGTGGAAACTGAGGCTTAGGGAGATCAGGTGACTTTTTCAAGGTCAGACAGCCAATAAGTGGCAAAGCTGGCCTCCACCCTGTCACCTCACCTCCCTTGCCTCTGTCACATGGGGATGGAGACACACATGGATCTGCCCATGGGACCATGATAGGGTCTCCTCTCCTGAGACAGGGATCGGGAGATCGGGGAGAGCCTTGAATCTCTGAGACCTGTTAAGTGGGGACTTTCTTGGCCCCACGACATCTGCATAAGTCACAGACTTGCCTGGGACCCAGAAAACCACTTCCTGTGCTCCAGCTGGGCCCCCCGCCCAGTGCCACAGTAAAGGTCGGCACCTGTACACCCAGGTACCCCACCCTGCCTGCCCCATCTTGGGCCCTAGGCCTCACCTGCAGCTGCGATGGTGGCATGGGGTTCAAGGAGGAAGAGGAGGCGTGGGCCCCCCCTCTGAGGTCCCGGCCCTGGAAGGTTGTCCCCGGGCCCTTGGCTCCCAGCTGGTCTGGGGCCTTGGGTGCAGCCCTCCAGCTGGGTGAGGCTCCTGGTGATGGGCCGAGCACCAAGGAAGGGGCCAAGGGCTTGGCTGGCCTGGGGTTGGGCATTGGGTCCTTGTCCAAGGGCAGGCTGTGGGGACACAGAGGGAAGGAATTAGACATGCGCTGGGGAGGGGTGGGGTATGTGAAATACTCAACCACTGGAACCACATGGATGCCCACTCTGGTCAGAGCAGGCATTTGTGCATGTCCCCAAGGGACCCCAGCTCTGGTCACACCCCAGCTCATGGTGCACATGCACACACACATTGGTGTCAGGAACACAGGTGTGCAGATCTGCATGGCCCCAGAGCATGCTGGCACAGCCCTGGTGAGAATGTGTCCTCCTCAAGGGTGATGGGGGATTCAGGGTGGTTTTCTGGACCTCCACCAGTGTAGGTGTCAGCACTTGAGTGGTCGTCTTCGAGCCTCAGCCCTCCTGTCCTCCCTGAACCCAGAACAGTCCACACAATCTTCACTGATCCCACTGGGTCTGGTCTGATTTTTTGCTGGGAGAATTATTTTACTCCAGTGACTTGGGCATATCTGGGAGTGGATGGTGGGCATGGGCTCAAAAGTTCGCTCTGGCTGCTGTGAGAGGGGCAGACTCTAGGAAGGTGAGGGCAGAAGCAGGGGGACTAGTGAGGAGGCTACTGCAATAGTCCAGGCTAGTGACAGTCTAGACCAGGATGGTGGCAGTGGTGAGGGTGAGAAGTGGTTGGATTCTGAATAATGTTTTGAGGGTGGAGTCAGGAGAATTTGCTGGCTGCTTGGATGTGGGGAGTGGGAGAAGGAGGGTCAAGGTGTCTTCTGGGTATTCGCCTGGGCAGCTGGGAGGACAGAGCTGACATTAACTGAGATGGAGGAGATGGGGGTAGGGTTGGGGTGATGGTGTGGATGGACATGAGGTCTGGTATTAGACATGCAAGTGGCAATGCTGGGCAGAAGCCGAGTAGAGGAGTCGAGCTCAGATGGGCCAGGTCTGATCATGTCTGGGCTCCTTCGTTGCACAGAGCTGGCAGGGCAGGTGCCAGAGAGGAGAAGAGATGGGCTCTCTTGAGCCAGGGCCCAAGGGAGCTCCTCAACTCAACCCTCACCAGGGTGTACCCCAATCTCTGCTCTCCAAGCCTGTCTCCAAGTCTACTTTGCTGTTCCACCTGCCTGGAATGCCTGCTCCTTCTCCTCTTCTCCTCCCCCAGCCCTATCCAGAAAGCCCTCTAAAATGGTTCCAGAACCTTACACTCCCCGATCGGCAGGGCCTTGGTTTCTGGGAATCCTGTGATTCCCAGTCTGAGACGAAGCCAGAGCTGGAAGGGACTGTCTAGTCCAACCTCCATTCTACTGAAGGGACACCCAGGTGCAGCATTCTCCAGTCCCATGGTGACTTGAAAGCTCTACTTCTTTCTCCAGAAAGTGTGTGTGTGTGTGTCTCCTTACTGCACCCCACAACACTGAGTTGGGCACACAGCTGCCGACAGCAGCCTGGGGGTGGTACAAGGAGGGGTTCTGAGGGAGCAGTTGTTCCTTCTTTTCTTTGCTGTCGGCTCATGGGGGCTGTCAGAGCTCTGGTGCTGAGGGAGGTGTGGGTGAGAATCCAGGTATTAAACCCTTAGTCTCTAGGGTTACAGGGTAGGGTAGGGTCTAGGACATTACTGTGTGAGAATCAGGAGCCTGGGTCTAGGGAGGCTCAGAACACGGGCAGGAGAGAATGTTGGTGACCACAAAGAGGTGAGCAAGTGAGTGGATGAAGGCAGGCAGAGATCAGGGTGGTGCTTGTACAAGCCAAGGAATGCCAAAGATTGCCAGCAAACCACCCGAAGCTAGGAGAGAGGCCCGAACAGATTCCCCCACTGTAGCCCTACACAGAACCAACTCTGCCAACACCTTGATCTTGGCCTTCTGGCCTCCCGAACTATGAGACAATACCTTACTGTTGTTTAAGCCCCCACAGTTTGTGGGACTTTGTTACGGAAGACCTGAGCAAACTAATACCAATTTTAGTGGATGAGTGGCTGCCACCACTCTGGCCTGGCCCACACGGCTGGTCTGTGGTCACTTCTCAAGCTGCCTGGACCCTTGGCCAGAGCTTATAAGAAATCACCTCCCCAGACACATCTGGAGCAGCCTGATTCAGGGCAGCATAGATACATTCTCAGAAAGGGGCCATGGATATGGTCTGTCTGGTGGTGGGCGACCTGGAGGGCCAGGCTGGGCAGCCGGCTTCCTGCACTGTCTGTTGGGGCGTCCCTTTCTGACTGTTTCTCAGAAGCTACATGGAGGATGTTTCTGGGACACAGATTGTGTTTTCATATCGGGGTCTGCATCTGGGCCCTGTTGTCACAGCCCCCGACTTCCCCAGATATTTCCGCCATTGACGTCATGGCGGCCGGATGCGCTGGGCTTCATCGGTACCAAGGAGGAAGAGAAGGGGGCAGATACCCCACCCCACGGGTTTCGTTCCGAGAATTGGCCGTCCCATCCTGCAGCCAGCTTGGCCCAGGTGGGGTGATGTGGGTGCTGGCGGATGTGGTGAATGACGTCCATCTGGCCGCCATGACAAGCCCTGGGCCCTGGGTCTAACTTGGCCCTTCTGGGGCCATGGAGAGGCTCAAGGTTTGATGTTTGGGGAGCGCCATGCAGACCTCACAGAGATTGGGCCCCTCAGAGTCTCCAAACGATACTATGCCGAGAACCTGAGAATCGTTGAACATCATTTTTTGATTCAAAGGACCTCAGAATCTCAAACCCACAGACTCTGTGGGATCCACAGGTCTGACTTCTCAGTATGGGAAGGCCAATGTCCCTGGTGTCCAAACTTGCCAAAACTTCCCAAAGGAGAGGAAGCTCACGACTTCAGAGTGCCTCCCGCTCACCAGGCCTGGAATTGCAGGAAGCCTCCCCTCAGCTTCCCTCTTAAGTTCTGTGGCGCCAGGAGGGTCTTCTAGAATCAGCCCCTCTGTTCCCCTAGCCCGGGGCCAGCTGCTGACACTAACTCGCTATAACTCTCCTCAGGCTCATATGTAAACTGGGACAAAAATAGTACCCATCTCCCCAAGATCATGTACATGAAATGCTTAACAAATTGTCCGTGATTGGTAGATGGACCCCTGCTGGACCTCAGTCTCCCTGTTCATTTGGGGACAGCACTCCCAGACTCCAGTCACTCTGCCAGAGATGAAAAGGGAAGGAAGGGGACACTGAGGCCGATGGACCTTTGACTCATGCCTCATGGCGGGAGCAGGCAGAGCCCTGACTTTTGCCAGTACAGAGCCCACCACCAGGCTCTCTGGAGGGGCCCCCAGATAGAGGTTCCCAGGGACCAGTGCCAACTCTGGGGACATGGCTGATCTCTGTCCACAGCCAGACTCACAGAAAGACTGACTTCTGTCCCTCCAATACCACCACCCTCTGGCCACGAGGCCTCCTAACCCATGGGGCCCTGGGATCCCACCCAGCCTCGCTCTTGTGAGACTGGACCCACACTGTGACCATGAGGGTCCAACCTGGAAGAAGGCAGAAGGGGGAACAGCAGCAGTAGAGGGGGCGAAGCCCAGGGCCCCCTGCCCGCCTCATAGGTGCCAAGGGGTAAACTGAGACCCACAGCAGAGAAGAGAGCCAGAGCCAGGGCCCCACAGAGAGTCCTGAGATCTGAGCGTGGGTCTCAAATCTGCCACTGCATCTCTGTGAGGCTTTCGGAGAGGGCCTCCCGCCCATCTCCTGGCCTCAATTTGCTCCTCTGTACGCTGGGAAGGGGAGAGATATGGAGCAGGTGAAGGCCAAGGACCTTCTGTCATGTGTCCAGGTGAGGTGTTAGGTGTCAGCAGGGCTCTGATTTGACCACTGCCTCTCTACCCAGAGGACTGGCTGAGAGACAGAAGTAGAGCTAGACAGACATTGGGAAACAGAGAGACACAGAGAACAAGAGATACAGAGAGAGATGGGAGGGACACGAGGTGGGACAGAGAGAGACAAAGAGAACGACAGACACAGAGATGTGGAGAGGAGAGACAGCGAGGAGTGGGGAGGGGCCCATAGGAACAGAAAGTCCTAGAAGGACACACAAAGAGGGAGACAGAAGTGAGAGAAACAAAAAACAAGAGAGATAGAAACAATACAGGGATATGGGGAGAGAGATAGAGAGACGGGGAGGTGGAGGGGGACAGAAAGAGAGAGAGAGATGGAGAGAAAGATGCTCCAAATAAGAACAGTTGTTGGAGGAGCTGATGCTGCCTGAAATAGTGAAGACTAACTGAGGGCAAGACGCCAGGACCCCTGGCTGTGTCCTGCATAGTATTGAAAAGTGACAATCAGCAAGGCACTATGGCCCCAGTACCAGAACAGACACCGAGGAACAGAACGGAATAGAAAAACTCAGATACAGACCAACATCCAGAGGGAATCGAATTTGTGATGAGCGTGGCATTGCAAACTGGTAGATGCTGGAGGAGAGCTTGTTTAACAAATGTTTCTGGGATAATTAAGAGGAAAATTAAGTTCATGACTAATATAGTCCATTTCCCCAACCCCTCCCTGCCCAGTTTCACCATCATCACCTGCCCTAAAATAAATTCGAGATCCATTAAAGAGATAAATAATAATATCTAATATTGATCTTGGGTTTATTGTATGCCAGGCCCTATGCTAAGCATTTAACAAGGCTGATAGATTTAATTCTCACAACCACCCTTTGAAGTTGGTACTATTATAACCATCACAGTACATATGAGGAAATGGAGGTACAGAGAGGTTAAATGCCTGGCTAAAAATCACACAGATTGCTTGGGGTGAGGCTGGGTTTGTCCCAGACAGTCTGGCTCCAGTACCCACACTCTTAACCTCTATAGTAATGGAAAAAATGAAGCCATAAAAGACAAAAGAAGCCAACAGAGGTGAACATTTATCTCATTTTCAAGTGGGAAAGGACTTTCTAAGCACAAAACCAGAGACAGTAACCACAGAAGAAAAGATTAACCTCTTTGACAATATAAAAACACCATAAGCATCGCAAAACAGCATAAACAAAGAGAAAAACAACTTCAGCAAATGATGACTTGAGAGAAAATATTTGCTATCTATGTATGGCTGATGGAAGGCTAATATCCTTTTATATAAAGTGTTGTGACAAATCAATCAATAAAAAAAGATGAACACCTGATTAGGACTAAAGACATGACCAGACAACTAAAATAATAAAAAAAAGCACAAATGGTCAATAAACAGTGTAAGTAATCAAAGGATGCAAATTTCAACAACATGGTAATATTTTTTCTTACCTGCTATGTTGAGAAAGGATTAAAAAATGGTAATACCCACCCACAGTTAGCTTGAGTAGAGGGAGCATAAAACAGGACAACCTTTTGGAAGAACAATTTGCAGAGAGGGTCAGAAACCTTAAAAATGCACAAATTCTGTGCCCTAGCCACTGGTTTTGCAGGAATCTGGGGAACTAATCAGGGATGATTATGGGGAAAAACTAGAAACAACCTGAATGTCCAAAAATCAGCACTTGGTCAAACCAGTCATGGTTCGTATCAATGTGAGGACGGTCTGGACAGTTATGGAAGATCATATGTTGAAACATTTTTCAGTGATCTACAAAACTGCTCCTATTCACTGAATACAGCAGAAACAAAACCAACAGATCGCTAGATAGCATGATTCTAATTTGGTTAAAAAAGACTAACAGTTAAAACTCAGTGAGCACTTTCTAAGCCTGCAGAGATGGGGTTACCTCAGCCCTGAATGGTCTGCTCTGTTCCTGGACATGGATCCTGGCCGCCCCCACCCCACCAAGGTCCTGAGGGGAGGACCCACAGCTTAACTAACCATGATTGACAATGGCGTGAGGTGTCCCCTCAGGAGGGTCTCCTCTCATGTGGTACAAGCACAAGTTCAGTTAAGGGTTCAGCCTGACTAGACAGCCCACAATCCTCCTTTGATGGGGGTAAACAGAACTGATGTTCATTCTTGTAAGATGTAAGTGTCCTCCTCGTCATTACTCAACACACTATTATTAAGCGCCAACTGTACAAAGCTCTGTGCTGGATGCTGGGGGGTGGGTTGGGGGAAGGCAGGCAGAGGGAAGGTAAGACGAGTGAGCAGGAGAGGCAGTGGGAGAGACGGAGGAAAGGAGACAGATGGAGTGCGGTCAAGATGGAGGAGACAGCGGCAGGGAAGACAGTCAGAGCCAGAGAAAGATAGAGAGATGGAGAATCTGTGTGCCAGGGAAACAGAGAAAGAGAGGGGCAGAGAAACATGAAAAGAGTGAGACAGAGAGGGATGGGAGGTCTCGAGAGAGACCACAGCCCAAGAGATGTGAGAGACATAGCTGAAATTTCCACTTACACCTGTACAGTGTTTCAAGTCGTTCAAAGCTCTGCGATTCACAAAGACTGGCAGTTGATATATTTTAAAAATCCTACCCATCCACACATGGATCCATTTGCTTATCTTTGCCTCTGCCCAAGCGTTAATGAAGTACTTTACCCATCCGTCCTCTGGCCTTTGCTATTACTATTAGTATTGTAAAAAATACCTTACCTGACCAGGACCGCGGTCGCTGTGTGCATCTCTTGACTGTCCCGGAGGGCCCCTGACCCCCCAGTGCCTACCTCACTGTCGTCTCTTCTGCTGGACCCATTATCTGGTAGGGGAGAGCGGGGACACTCACCTCGGCGAAGTGGACTGACAGAAAAGGATCAGCCCGGCTTGTGGGAAACTGTCACATATCAAAAACAACTTTGCTTTTATACTGAGAAGAAAAACCACGGTGTGGAAGCCACAGACCTCTCTCTTCTAATAATCCAATTTTTTTTTCGATGAGTGTGTATGCTGATAATCACGGGGTGGGGGGGGTTCTCATCGTTTTTGCTCTCTCGCTCTCTCTCTCTCGCTCTGTTTCTCCTCTTCTTGATTATGAGACTTAAACGGAAATTTTGAAATTTTGGGTTTTTTCTTTGCCCTTTACGAGTCATCTGAAAATATGATTTCTTCCCCTCACTACAGAGGTGAGAGGTATCAATGAGATAACAGGGCTCGTGAGAAACCACAGTTTTTTAAACAAAAGTGTGTAGAGTTAGAAAAAAAAAGAGAAAAAGAACTCAAATAAATCACAGGGGCAACCCAGGCAGGCAGAAATACCAGTCTGTGAGTGAGAGGATATTTGAGGGTCCCTAGGGAAAGGAAGAGAGGAACTGAGATGCTATGTGTGGATGGGAAATGCCAGGAAAAGAAACGGTATAGGGCTGGGTTTCCAGAGGCCTTGCTCTGCTCTGGACCTCAGTTTCCCCTCAGGTGGAATCAGTATGGTTGTCATGCTCTCACTGCCCAGGGATCAGGAGCTCTGGAAAACTCTTGCAACTCATCTTCCCAAGGAAGGGGCATGGAAGTTACTTCATGAAGAAAAAAGCAGAGAGTCCCTCCCTACCCTCCACAATTCACAGAATCCAAGAGTCTGAGAATCACTGGCTCCCAGAACCCACTGTGCATCCCTGAGTGAGGAAAGAGAGAAAAGTCTTGCCTCATCACATCTTAGGGACTGAGATCTCTGACCTAGATGCTCATCTATAGGGAAGGTCCCAACAAGGCCCCAGTATTAATGCCTCCATCTTCACAAAGCCCAGAGGCCCATTTGGATCACAACCCTCTCATGGTAAGGGACACCTCGGCCTGATGCTTCCTGAGGCCCCAGCCTCTGTGATTTTCTGCTTCAAAAAAATCCCAGTTCCGAAGGATTTAGGAGTCCAAGTGTCCGCCATAGTCCCTGGAGCTGACATTTATCTCGAATTTTCCATGTGCTAGACACAGCGCTGAACACTGCTCACAGTCGATTGTGTTCGGTCCTCATCACATCCCTTGGAGGTCCATCTCGTCATCATGGCCGTCATACAGATGAGGAAAACGGAGGCGCGAAGTAGTCGGGCAACTTGCCCAAGATCACAGAGCTGGCGGATAGGGCCTTGCATTCCACAGGTGCTGGGCTTTGAAACCCTTGGGTTTCCTTGAGCTCAATGGTCTCAGGTTTTAAATTCTCAGATGCAGTAGGAGCTTCTGTGATTTGGAGAGTCTTCTGGGGACTTGAAGCTTTAAGGTTGTCCAAGAACTGGAGGCTGCGTTTCCGCACCTCAGCGGGCACCCCCTGCAACCAACCAACACGGGAGACCAGCCCCCAGGGGCTTCTCCTGGTAGGCCATGGCTGATACTTCCAGCTCTTGGCTCTCCAGGACCCCGCGTGGCCCAGGGTTCCGTCATCCAACGTCCACTCCAACCCCTCTGCAAGACTGGCTTCAGGCCTGGGAAAGAGAAATTGGAAACAGCTTTTGGCTCACATGGTATAAACCTAGTGGTCGAGACCCACCCCTTTGCCCCTTTGCCCCTTTGCCTCTTTTCCTCCCCGCCAACCTCCCAAATCCTTGAAAGAAAGAGAACTTCTTTGCTCAACTCAGACTCACCTTTCTGGAAAAGCCCAGAGGGGGCCTGGTGGCCTGGCTTTGTGAAGACAAGAAAAAAAAAAAGGTGAATAGAAAAAAAAAAGACCTAAAAAAAAATCAAGCCAACAACAAACAATAAAAAAAAAAAACCCAAACCCTACCCTACCATTAGTTCAAAACAAAACTTTCACTGCTTGAGGCTTCAGAGTTGGTGGGACATGTCTGAGACCAAAAGATGACCTGTGTGTGCCGGGCATCCAGGGAGGCACCAAGGTGGGTGAGATCTCACACTGGAGGCCTGCAGGGACCCTGCGTATAGCAGGGGCTTAACAGATGTGGCCTGTCATTGGGAGCCAGAGAGGGCATGAGGAGCATGCTTGTCAGGAAGGAGTCCTGGGGAGCGGACTTTAGGGATATCCCTGAGGTTGATTAATGACCCCTTGCTCCCTGTGGACTTGCATCTGAATGTTCCCTACCCATCTCCTGTGACTATAAACCAGGCCAGTTCTAGAAGCCGAGGCCCCATTCCCTACTCCAGGACCTGCTCCCTCCTGAGAGCAGGGGCTGGTTTTCTCTTTCGGGGTCAGAGGTGTGGGCTACATCTCCCCAAACCATCTCTCCCTTACTGTCACTCGCTCCATGAGAGGACTGGCCAGAGAAGAGGAGGAAAGCTGAACGAGGGTGGTAGCCCACAGAGTCCCAGAAGGCCATTAGAGAGGGGTCTGGGGTGTGAGAGAAGTGATGCTGATGATGCTTAGAGCCAGGACCTTTGCAAAGTGAGGGCTGAGGCATCGGGTGGGCAGAGAGGGACCAGAGGTCACCACCTTCTCTCTGCACTGGACTATATCCTCTCATGTGGGAGGCTTCTGGGGGAAAGTGGGCAGGATTAAACAGAGAGGTTGGTGAAAGTCCCCAGAGAAGGGGGCCTTTGATAAAGACTTGAAGGAGGTGAGGGAGGGAAGCATAATTCTTCTGAGTAATTTTGAGGAAACAGGCAGTGCAAAGGTCCTGAGGTAGGAGTGAGCCTAATTTGCTCAAGGTCTATGAAGGAGGTTGGTGTGCTTAGAATGGTGTGAGCAAAAGGAAGAGGGGTAGGAACTGAGGTCAGAGAGGAGGCTGGGAGGTGTTAAAAACCATGTGGGACCTTGTAGCTCATGGTAAGGACTTTGGATTTACTCTGAGTGAGTAGGAGGTCACGGGAGGGTTGTGAGCAAGGGAGAGACGTGAACCGTTTCAGGATTTCACAGGATCCCTCTGATTGCTGGAGTGAGGATGGAAGCAGGGGACCACTGAAAGGGAGGCTACAGCAATAGTCCAGGTGACTGATGAAGGTGCTGGCAGTGGATGGGGCCAGGAGATGGTATATTTGGGAAATAAATGGAGAGCTGACAGGATTTGTTGAAGGATGAGAGTCTTGGGGCCAGACCAGGACAGGATCTACGGGCAGGAAGGAGTCCCTGTACTACTTAACAGCTTGAACTTGTAGGTGAGAACAAATAAAGTTCTATCTTGTTTAAGCCCACATTATTTTGTGGGCTTTTTCCCCTGTTACTTGCAACTAAATGTATTGGTTCCTGACCCACGACCCCATCCTGGACACTGAGACCTAAGGAGGGGAGCCTGCTGGAGAAACTGCCTCCCTCCTACGGATGCTGTGAGTTAGAACCTTGCATACAGTAGGTGTTCTGAAAATCCTCCCAGGATGGAGGGGGGAATGAATGAATGGCCATGTTAAGCGGACACAAGCTACAATTCCATTCCCACAGGAGGCGGGATCTCAAAGTGAGAATGGAAAAGGAGTAAAAGGAGTTCACTAGATGAGGAAGCAGAAGCAGCACTCTTGGGAGAGGGAGTAGTAAGAGCAGAGGCTGGGGACAGAAAGAAGGGAGGTGAGGCCACTGTCGGGTGTAGAGTTTGAGTCACACAAGAAAGATAGGGCTTTGATTTGGGTTTACGTTAGTCAATGTCCGCCAACATGCCCAACCTGCTGCATACAGTCGTGCTCCGTGTTTTGCTGAGCTCGAGTTAGAAAAAGCTAATCTTCCATAAAAGCTCCATTTCTCATTTGGCCATTCATTCAACAATGGTGCCAAGTCTTGAAGAACTCTGAGGATGAAAATCAGGGGCATTCTTGGCACTAGTACCACTCAAGCAAAGGCTCCGAAGTGGGCAGTACTGTGACAGAACAGTCCGTTCTGCTTTCTTAGATCTGAAACTAGGATGCAGTCTAGGTCTTCAGGGGCCCTGGCATTCACAGCCCTGGGGTAATGGGGAGTCACGGAGTGTTAAGGAGAAGGTAAATCAATCCACGAGAGGAATACTCTTCCCAAGGGCTGCCTGCATTCTACGGTTCTGCGGCCCTACCAACCTGCAGCCCAGAAGGCCTACGCACCCTCTTCTCTGGCCTACTTATTGGCTGCTCATCCCCTCTTTCACACCACCTACAACACCCCGGTTGGCTCTGCTCTTCGCCGTCCCGCCTCCATGTACTTCCGTCCCGCTACACTTTGTGGCTTCGGCATTGGTTCATCCCGTTCTAGCACTGCCCTTTGAAGGCTCAACTGCCTTCACTCTGGCTCGCCCATTGGCTATCCACCGTCTCTCTTCCTCGCTCCCGCCTACATCGCCCACCCCATTGGCTCTTCCCCTCCAGTCCCGCCTCCAAAGCCTCGCACACACCACCTCTGGGTCATCTTCTAGTTTCCGTATTGGTTAGCCCCACCACGGCCCGCCCCTTGAAGGTGCAGTGCACACTGAAAAGACTCCTCGTTGGTTTGCTACAGCCATTATCGTCATCCCTACGCCACCGGTGCGCGGCTTCCCATTGGCTGTTCGCTATCTCTATCTTCCATCCCACTACCTAAGCAACCTACGGATTTCCGACTTTTCTGGCCTCTCCGTTCGCTACCTGCTGCCCCTATCGCCTGTAGCCATTCCATTTTCCCCGCCGCCCACACGTCGCTCCTTATCCCGCTTCCCCAATTAGCTATCCTGCGCCTGCTCTCTTCATCCCGGACCCCGCACCACCCCCACTTCAGGCCCCCCCCATTGATTCCCCGATCATCCCGCCTCCTACACCGCCCACTCTCGGGCATCCCTATTGGCTGCGTGCTTCCCCTGCACTTGCTTCACCACCTACGTCACGCGTGCGCGGCTCCTCATTGGCTCTCCACTATACCTGTCTTCGTCTCGCCGCCTACGCCCCCCGTGAGTCGTACCCACCCGGCGCTCGGCCTTCCTATTGCTGCAAGCCCCTT